CCTGTCTGCCAGGGCCTCTCTGGGGCCCTCTGACTTTACCTTCTTTCCCTGGAACCCTTTGCCAGGCTAGCCGTCTGGTGTGCCCTGAGTTCCTATTCCTCCCATAAGGGACAGGCGTCCTCCCGCCAAAAGAAGAGACACCGTGAAGACATCGAGGTAGGGGACCCCCTCCATTCACTTGTTGATGTGCTCAACAGACATTTCCTGAGGCTTTTGGGGTCAGAGACTCCTTCCCAGGCAGCGGCCCCGCCCCTGGATGGCTTTGTTGGGGCTCCCCTGGCCGAGCATCTCCAGGGGTGACTGTGTGAGGGGGACTCACTGGGGTTTGTGGGTGGGTGGGTGGGGGAAGCTGGGCTTACTGGGGCTGCTCACTGAGGCCTGTGGGGAGCTGACTCTTCCCCACCTGTCTGAGCTCCAGCTCTCCTCCCTGATAATGGGAGATTTGTGGGCCCAGGAGTCGGTAATAGTGCCTCTCTTGCTCTCCAGGATTATATCAGTCTCTTCCCCTTGGATGACATGCAGCCCTCAAAGCTGATGCGACTGCTGAGCTCCAATGAGGAAGATGCCAACATCCTCTCGAGTCCCAGTGAGCATGCGGACTGGGCTGGGTGGGCTCCTCCTTTCCCGGGAACTCACTCCCGCCTGGGAGAGCTGCTTGGTATAGAACCTGGCCGCCGGCATCTTTGCTGGTTGGAGAGAATGCGCTGGGAGTTTGTCCCCTTTCCCCCCCACCACTGCTGCTCTGTTTTCTGCCTGTGGAGAGACTAGAGAGGTGGCTGGGGACCTCCGCCCAAAGACTGAAGCTCTTCCGTCCAGACCACAGCCCAGCCCTGGACACACCATTGTCCCTTCCCTCCCCTTTACTCACCACAAGTGAGTTCACTACCTCAGGCACAGTCTGTGCCTTTGACTCACCAGCTCTGGCCTTCCTTCCCCTGAAACGGGCCCTGAGGCTGGGGGCTGGATCTGCTCCCCACTCTTCCTGCTTGAAGAGCACCTCTGGCTCCCCTTGCTCTCATTACCTCTCCCTGCCAAGGGCTTCTTCTGTGGCATTTAATTTTTCCTGTTTCCAGAAATTTCTCTTGAGTCTAGAAGTTTCTCTAAGGCCTTTTAGGCATTAAGGTGCCAGTTAATGCCAGCTGTGCAGTTGAGTAGAGGAGAGATGCTATGTCTGGCACCCACAGACCTTATGACCTTTGGCTGATTACTCAGCAAATCCCAGTCTCGGTTTCTTTGTCCATGAAGTCGGAGTGTGAGGGTTGTGCGGCCTGATCTTTGTGTAGCCCACAGATTGGCGCTTGGCAGTGCTCACCAAGTGTTCTCTCTCATCTCCCACTGAGATCTCTGTGACTCTGGATCCGGGACCTTCCCTGGGTTGACCCTCCACACCTGACGGGTGAGGGCGTCCCCTGGGAAGGGGGTTTTGAAGGTAGGGAACCTTTGCCTAAGGCTCCCTCCACTTGACCCCACAGCCGACCGCTCCATGAGCAGCTCCCTGTCAGCCTCCCAGCTGCACACGGTTAACATGAGAGACCCGCTGAACCGAGTCCTAGGTGAGTCACCCACTGCCCTCCGGCCCGGGGGGCTGCGGCCTTGCCAGCCAGAGGAGGACCTCCTGGTTCCCCTTCACCCATTAGTGTCCCTGTCTCGTGCCTCCATCTCTCCAGCCACTGGCTTTCCTGTCGCCCCCAGGCTCCAGTTGGGTGCCTCTCCCCACCCCTGCTTGCTTTCCTTTCACCCTTCCTCTTTTTTCCCCCCCCCCACCCCCATTTGAGGGGCACTCTGAGGGCTTCTTTCTTTTCACTTTTTGGTGCCACCACCTCCCAGCCTAACATCTTCTCAGACCCTTCTCACGGAGTGCTCCCTCTCCCCCCCACCTTCTGCTTCTGCGCAGCCAACCTCTTCCTGCTCATCTCGTCCATCCTGGGCTCCCGGACCGCGGGCCCGCACACTCAGTTTGTGCAGTGGTTCATGGAGGAGTGTGTGGATTGCCTGGAGCAGGGCAGCCGAGGCAGCATCCTGCAGTTCATGCCCTTCACCACCGTGAGTGCTTCGCCCCCAGGTTCAGGTGGGGGCTGCAGGTCTTAGGGGGGCCTGGGTGCGGGGGCAGCCCTCAGAGTAGGAGGGCCTCCTTCCTCCCGGGACCTGGCGGCCCCCAGCAGGCAGCCCCTGCAAGCGGCCGTTTGTCTGTCTGCGGCAGGTATCAGAACTGGTGAAGGTGTCAGCCATGTCCAGCCCCAAGGTGGTTCTGGCCATCACGGACCTCAGTCTGTCCCTGGGCCGCCAGGTGGCTGCCAAGGCCATTGCTGCGCTCTGACAGGCTGGGGGGTGCCCGCAGGGGCCGTGTGGGGGACCACAGCCCCAGGCGCCGACGAGGGAACAGTGAGGAAAGATGAGACAGCATTGCTCATGTCCACGTGATGTAAGAGCCCTATGTCATTTCCAGATCATTCCTCTGTCCTGACATCTGACCTCTAAGACGTCTCCCAGTTTCTTTCATAATTTCCTCTGCCCTCTGCCAGCACTAAGGACTGTGTGCAGCCTGGCTGTTAGCCCGGGGCCCTCAGCACCCCACACCCCTCCCCCTTCCGACAGTAGATGTACCTCTGGGAATTTTGCAGGTGCAGAGTGTGTATATTTATATTTTTGTAACACAGGGAGGTTTCTCTCAGCTCATTTGTTAATAAAGATCTTTGTGGGTCCCTGTGTGAGTCCCAAGTGGTGTCTGCCCGAGGCCCATGGAGGCAGTGAACGTCTTCTCTTTGGAAGCCCGTGTGCTTGGCCGAGGAAGAGTCTCGGTCCTGTGGCTGAGGAGGGCTGGGCTCAGGTTCCTGTGTCTGTCCACTCAACAGGGAAAGCGCTTCCCCTCCTCAGACCAGCATCAGGCAGTAAGGGCTCAACTCTCGCGCGCCACCTAACCCCACACCCCAAAGTCAGACTTGACTCTGAGAAGGGAGAGGTTTTGGCAAAAGGCCCGGCTGGTGCTGGGGTAGGGTGGCCTGTCCTTCTGACGCTCTCCCACTAGACTTAACCCCACCCAGAGCCTGACTGTCTCAATCTGACCTGTCTCTGTCCAGAAGAGGACTGGGCGATGAGGGGCAGGATCGGTTTAACCCTTGCTTGTCTTCACACATCTCCAAGCCCCAACTTCTTCAGAACCATGCGGCGGGGGGTGAGGAGGGGGTGGGCGGCTCTGAGCCACGCAGCTGGGGATTCTGGTCCTCTCAGCCAGACCTTCCTCTCTAAAGAGCCAGATGGAGGGGGGAAGTGGGAGGGCCTGAGGAGCCCAGGGGAAGCCTTGAGATGCTGGACTGGGGACCGGCGGGCCATCTGGACTTTCCCGGGTCTGGTGGAGGCACCCTCGATCTACAGGTGCATCTTAGGCTGAGGACACGGAAAGGAGTACTTCCGGCCTGTGGTGTGAAGCAGCCCTCTGCGCTCTGCTTCTCTCTCACCCACGCCTGTCCCCGGGCCCTGGGAGCTCAGGCTCAGGCCCTGGGAGCTCAGGCTCCGCCCCTGAGGCCCAGACCAGCAGGAGAGCGGCGGCTGGCCTGAGGTTGCTGATGCTCCCTGCCCAATCAGAAGCAGAGCTTGAGGGAGACAAGTGCAGGGCCGGGAATTTGAGTGCTGACCTAAGTTGGCATCTTGAACTCAACTCCTGATCTATAAAGGGCACTTCTCATTCTATCTCCATGGGCAAGTGTGAGTGCGGATGGGCTGGAGTTTATGGGAGATAGCAGACATTAAATCCCCCTTGCTTCAGTGTCTGAGTCTGGACTCCTAAGACCCCCCACCCCCCCCCCCCACCCCATGTTCTCCTCTCCCAGTATGGTGGCCCATCCGCCTCCGTCTTCCCACTAGACTGCGTCTTGGTGAGGGCAGGGACCTTGCCTGCCTTGTCCACTTCGGTGTCCCTAGCACTTAGCCCAGTGCCTGCAGAGTAGGTACAAGAGAGACCCATGCTAAGGGCGTGAGTGTTCATGAGCTAGAGGACTGCGCCCTTCCTCCCTGCACCTCCTCTTTCCGTCCCTCTGGCTTCATTCACCATTCGACTCCCCGCTCCCCCACCCCTGGCTGGGCACCAGCTGGACTCAAGGAGGAAAGGCTTTTATTGGATACAAACACGATATTTTATTATCAGAGTTTGGCTACAGTGAGAAAGTGGGGGCAGAGGTGGAAGGTGAGCTGAGCATTCCTCTCACCTACCCCGTCACATAACCTTCCACATCTTCTCCTCCAACACTCCCAGTCCCACCACCCCCTCCAGCAAGGCCAATATAGGAGCCTCTGCCCAGCCCTTGAAGGGTCAGAATCCTGACCCTGTTGAGGGTGGGGCAGGTGTCAGGAGCCTGTCATTGTTGCTCTAGGGCATCCAGAAAGCTGAGGAACGGCAACAATGCCCAGGCTCCCCATACAGGAAGTCAAAATATTACCAAAAACATCTTAAAAACTAGATTCCCCAGCAAATTCGTGGGACTCCAGGGTCAAATCTCCCTGCTCTGGCCGCCTCCTGCGAGGCCTAATGCCCGTGGGGAAGGGGACAGACAGGAGGCGAAGCAAGACCTGGCCCACTGGGCATGTGCAAGCCGAGCTGGTGAGGCCAGAGCGAGGGGGGAACCCAGGAGGGGAACACTGCTGTTTAAATATTAAACAGGGTTTTCTTGTCTCCCACATGGGAGACTTCCTGATGCTCCCAGGGGTCTTAAGGTGGGTACCCTTGGGGTAAGGAGTTCACTGGGGTTCTTCCCAGTGCCCACCACAGAGCCAGGCCAGGGAGCAGTCACAGGAGTCAATACGTGGTATTTACCTAGCTACCTCCCAGTCCAGGGGACAGGAAGACAGGGGCTTTTCTCCCTGCTACAAGCAGAACGGACTCAGAGACAGCAGGAAGGACCCAAGAGTCCGGGGCTCCTTCCTGCTTTTTCTTGTCTTTAAATATTAGATTTAAATAAGCATAAATATTAAATAAAGATAAATACGCTGGTTGGGGAAGGTTTTGCTCAGGGTTTGGCAAAGGCGCGCAGAGCACGGTAGGCCAGCTCCAGGAAGCTCTGCAGGTTGGAGGCCACCAGGACCCCTCCGGCCCGGCGCTGGAAGGCCGAGGTGAAGGCTGGCATGGCACCCTGGGTGGGTGGCACTGCCGGGGCCACCCCCAGCTCTTCCATCTGTGGGGGGAAGAGGAGATCAGCTAAGTGGGCATGATTAGCGAAAGAAATGCAAAGGGCTGCGGGGGTGTGCGGGATCAGACCACACGGTTGATGGGTGAATGGTGGAGGCTGGCCTTGAACCCAGGTCTACATCAGGGTCTGGCTCCCGCCCTCATCTAGGGAGAGTGAAGGGCTGGCAGCAAGAGGGGCCTGGAGTGGGAGTTCTCTCGCCCTGAGAAGCCTCCCACGCTGACCCCAAAGAACTGGGATCCTCAGGCTTGCAGCATGATCTCTGGGGACCAGCTCAGTCCAGGCCCCCAACCCTTGTGGCTCCCAGTGAGGCTCACCTCCCGCCAGAGGTTGATGGCGAAGTCGCCGATGTCCAGCTGCAGCGTTTCCAAGGCAGGGGTGAGCTCAGGGGGTAGCCCTGTCAGAGCCTGCAGGAGGCCCTGGTAGAGGACGAGGGCGCTGTGGAGTTGACGCAGGCAGCCCGTCTGGGGGACAGAGTGGCAGAGTTAGGGGGTGCTGCCCGGGTGCTCCTTTCAAGGCCTGGAGGTCTAGAGAGACTTCCAGACCGTTCTTCCCTCCCTTCCACTCCCTCTACCCCTCCAGAAACTCACCAGCTGCAGGGCCTGGCTGGAGCAGCCACTCAGGGAAGGCTGGGGGATGCCCAAAGCGTGTCCGAGAAGCACCAGCTCCTCGGGGTGGCACAGCTTGTGGGTGGCGCACTGGGGATAGGAAGGATGCTGTGTGAGGGGGAACTGAGGGGCCAGGCTGCTCCTGTTTCCGAAGTCCTCCCCGTTTCTCCAAGGTCTTCCCCTCCCTCCCAGTCCTGCCAGGCCGCTCAGCCCCACTCTGCCCTCCATGGTGATCTAGAATCTGGGCCATCCGGGCACTGTCCTTGAGACACTTCCCAGCCAGCCTTCCGCAGCTCTACTCTCTTGACTCTCTTCTTCCCCTAGGGTCTTTCCTTTGCCATGCCCCTCCCTGATGACATCTTCTCACCATTCCCTTCCCTTCCCTTCCTCCCTCCCTGCAGCTCTGCCCCCTTCTTTTCCTCCACTGGCCCTCTCCCAGCATCCACGTCCCCTCGTCGCCTCGGAGCCTCTCACTCACCAGCCTCTCCTGCAGCACGGTGCTGTCAGCCTGCACCTTCCTCATTTGCTCTAAGCACTTGAGCAGGAAGCTCTGGGGCAGGGAGCTGGTAGGGCCCAGGGGGGCGGCTGCTTGAACCAGCCAGAGTGCCTCATACCACAGTAGCAGCTGCAGGGCTGAGAGCAGACAGGGGGTACTCAGGAGACAGGCGGTCCACTTCCACCTGGGGCCCCTCAGCCCCTCTGCCACTCCAGCCTCCCCCCCGCTCCCCCAGTGGCCGGGACACTCACCGGTCAGCTTCATGGGGCTCTGGGCAGCAGGCTCAGCCAAAGGTCTGGGTGGGTCTGTGGGCGCCAGGCTCTGGCAGGGACCAGCTTGCGCAGCGCCTTTATACGGGAGCCCATGAGGCCTGGGAGGAAATTACCTGGTGCCGCGACTGAGGCTTAGTAATAACTTCCCAGGATTTATGCAAATTTGGTGTCCAGGACAATGCAGGGGGGCTGGGACAAGAAGCTGTTTGCGAAAGTTTTGTGAAATTGTGGAATCCCTGCTCTTTCTTTGACGTCTGGTCCCCCTCAAATGCTTTTCCTCCCCCCAGCCCCACCCAGGCCCGAAATTGCCCCAGGGTGTTTGATCAGAACCGTTGAGGGAGGCTGTGCCTGCTGATACCGCGGAGGCGGTGGCGGCTGGAGGCTGGTCAGCCTGACCTGGTAGGAGGCCGGTCTCCAAGCGGCCCCTCCCTCCTTCCCTCCTGGCCAGAGGAGGGGGAGCATGCCCCCTTGCACTCTCCCAAACCACCTGCTCCCTAGACCCCGAATTCTGAGAGGGAAGAAACTGGTTGCCCCCATTTCTTTTTTTTTTTTTTAATTGAATCCTCCTTTTTTTAAAAAAAGATTTTATTTATTTATTTGACAGACAGGGATCACAAGTAGGCCGAGAGGCAGGCCGAGAGAGAGGGGGAAGCAGGCTCCCTGCTGAGGGGAGCCCGATGTGGGGCTGAGGCTCGATCCCAGGACCCTGGGATCATGACCTGAGCCAAAGGCAGAGGCTTTAACCCACTGAGCCACCCAGGTGCCCCTAGTTGTCCCCATTTCTCCCCCCCAAGCTCCCAGAAGGCTGCCTTCCTGAGTCCCCTCCTGAGGGGCAAGGGTCCTGAGGTAGGGACACTGGGGACTTGCCTCCTGTCTCCACCCCATACATTGATGGGCAGCGTCCCAGGTTCCTGTCTTGAACTGGTTAGCTGGGAACTCCCCAATCCCCCCCGTGACTCATTCCTTTAAGCCCCCGGAATCCTGGCAGAAACCAGAGGAAACCGGATGTCTGTCCCAAATGAAGCAAGACCCTTGAGGCTCTGGGTCTCTTGATTCACCTGACCTTGCCCTTCCTCCTCCTCCCGGGGTTCCTCTCCCTCCAATGGTGTCCCAGCGCTTTGGAGCTGGGGGAGGGTCTGTGACACGTGTCTTCCCTGGCCAAGTTGACCGCCTGCCAGAGTGTGTGCGGCCCTGAGGTGGAGAAGGGTTGGGGGTGAGAAAGAAGAAACTGCAAACAGCCTCAAATCCTAGAACCATGCAATTCTTGGAATCTGGTCTACACCCCCTGAACCCAGCCAGAGAGGAATGTGCCTTGCCCAAGGTCAAGGAGAGCAGACTCAATCTTAGGAGTTACAGCCTGGAAATTCGCCTCAGGCTTGAGGGTTTCCTACAGGCCACTGGGCCTGCCTAGCAATCCTTCAACCACACCCAAGGCTGTCACTTTCCGTCCCAATTTACCTCAGCCGGGAGCCAAGGAACGGACAGCTTTTGATAAGGAGTGGGTGTGTCTGCCTGGGTGAGGCCATCTCTGGGGCACGGGTGCCCCCTGGTGGCCACAGCGGGCAGGGACTTCACCTGCTGATCTGTTCTCGTCTTGCCTCAGGTCCCCTGTCCCCACCGGGTGGGGGGGGGCAGGGTTGGCCACTCCACCTCACGCAGGCTGGCCACCGTGCCTGCACTGAGGCCAGCTCTGCGTTCAGCTCTCCGGGAACACAGGGGTGGGTTTAGAACTGCTGAGGGCAGGAGATTAACTTTCACAAACATGTCCCTTCACCCTCCCTCAAAGAACCTCCAGAGGACTCCGCTGGCCCCAGACATTGTGCTGAGCACTCTCCACACATTATTGAGTGTATGACTTCCAGTGAGTCTATGAGGAAGGTGCTGGAACCACTTCCCATTTTACAGAAGATGAATCAAGAGTTGGATGCTCAACCGATGTATCCATCCAGGTGCCTCTTTGCCATTAAATCCCTTAATCAGTGTTTGGCCTGGCAGACCTAGACCCAGCTCTTATCAATTCACCTACAGTCCGAGTGCATAGGACATTGGGTTGAGAAAATACGTTAATTCTGACAAAGGTGGCCAGGATGGTGAGAGGACTCAGGATCAGAATTTGAAGAAAACAGGCTGTTCTGACTGGGGGAGCGAAGGAAGGGCTTGTTGCTTGGTCTCAAGGGCTGGAAGTGGGGCAGGGAGCGCAAGCCACAGCCAGCGAGTTTTCCTATCAACAGAAAGAAAGAGCTTTCCAGCGGTCAGAAGTGTGAGAAGATGGAGTGGGCTGCTTCCAGAGGGAGTGAGCCGCCTATCCTGGGAAGCATTCTGGCCTCCATTCCATAGGGAAAGAATCCAAAAGTCAGCTGGTGATTATTGGACACCTCTTATATGTCAGGCACCTTCCATCACACTTGCGTCATTCATCCTCCAAACCGAGCGGAAGGATGTGGATCGCTCTCATTAGAGACAAAGGGCAGGTCAGTGAGGCGAAGGGTCTTGCCTCAGATCACAGAAGGAGTCGGTGGCCAGGCCAGGCGGGACGGAGAGTCAGGTTTCCCCAGCCTGCACCATCCCCATTACATTACCTTCCTATTCGGAGAGCCGCTCCTCCTAGAGGAGGGCTTGATCCACACTTCAGCCCTATGCATGGGATGATAAAGACCAGGTGGAGAACCAGGGCTTGTCACTAGCCAGGTCGCACAGGCTGAGCCGGACCAGAACGATCTTCTGGCAAAGGGCCTGGCTCTGGAGACCCCTGGCAGTCATTCCGCCTTCCAGCTTCCTGAAAGCTTTCCCAGGTGTTTCTCAATGGCCAAAACTGGCCCGAGACTTCCCCTCACGCTTCCTGTTTTCATCTGGTGCGGGACCTGGAGCATCTCTCAAAGGGTTCTCGGGTGACTCATTTGTTGCAGACTCAGCCTGGGAGCCAAGATACGGACACCTCGTTGTCAAGAATGGGTTTTACATTTTTAAGTTGTTGGGGGGGAAATCAAAAGGATATTTCCTAACATGTAAACGCCATATGAAATTCAAACCCTGGTGTTCTTAATTTGTTGACATATTGTTTACAGCCACTTTCAAGAAGGGCAGAACTGAAATGAATAGTTGTGACAGACCATATGACTCATGAGCCCTAAAAATGTGCCATCTGGCCCTTTGAGAGAAGTTTGCACATCACATCCATTGTCCCTGCATACCAGGAGAACACAGAGCTATCCTCTGGGGCCTTGTCTGTCAGAGCACATCGATGCACACCAGTCAGGAAAGGGCTAAATAAATCAATGTCCACAGATGCCTCCACCTCAGCCCCTCATGGAATGAAAACTCCACGAGGAAAGGAATTAACTGGCTTTATTTGTGCTGTTTCAAAGTGCTTAGGACAGTGCTAGGAATGGTATCAACACGACTAGATCACAAAACCAAGATTGAGTGAAGAGAGCAAGTTACATTTATTTGATAGATACGTCATTTAAAAGACTTAAAAATGCAAAACACTACCATATTTTGCATAACACAAGGTATAAAGACAAACTGGAGGGCTACCCACTGAATTCATTGGAGTGGCTGCCTCTAGGGAAGGTAGGGAAGGGCCTGGGAAAGGCCTGTGATGAGGTTTCTGAGCTATGATGGTTTTCTTCCGTTGAGAAAACTTGAAATGATAACTAAATGTCACCATTTATTAAACTTGGGTGGAAATATGTGGGGATTTGTTATGTTATTCTTCGTGCTTCTCTGTAGTTCTCTAAACAAAACAAAAAAACCAGAAGGTGGAGTGCATAGTGAACTCTGCGAGCATAAAAAGGACACTAAGCTTCTCCAGGAAGAGAAAACCAAGCCAATGGGAATGAATTACAAGAAACTTCCAGTGAGCAGACAGAAAAATAGTCCATAGATTCAAGGTGGGCAAGAACCAGGAAATCATGGCAAATGACCCCCAATTCTCTAGACCAGGGTGACACTCTCCAATCTGTTACCAACCAGGAGAGGGTCTGAGGCACTTTGGGCTGGGTGCTGATTGTAAGGTTCGTAACCGTGGGGCCCCTGGCTGGCTCAGTTGGTAGAGCATGAGACACTTGATCTTGGGGTTGTAGGTTTATGCCCTACATCGGGTGTAGAGATTACTTAAAAATAGTCTTTTTTTTTTTTCCCCTTTTTTTTTTAGAGACTGCATGTGCTCCAACAAGAACCTGGGGTCTGGGGTGGGGGCAGAGAGAGAGCGAATCTTCAGCAGGGTCCACGCCCAGTGCAGAGCCCAATAGAAGGCTCAGTCTCACAACCCTGAGATCATGACCCCCGCCGAAATCAAGAATCAGATGCTTAACCAACTGAGTCACCCAAGCACACCCAGAAAATCTTTTTTTTTTTTTTTTTTGAAGAGTTTCATTACCCTGAGAGGTGGCAGTAGCTTTTTAAAGCAAGTGGGCAATGCCCAGTCACTGTGACCATGGCTGGGATGGGATCAGGAACCAAAGCAAGGCCAGTCTAAAACATGCCTTTAGCGGAAATTAGGGATATTGGGGGATGAAAATCTTCAGTTGGTAGGAACAGAGTGTACCTTTCCTAACAAACAAGACTTCATTGGACCCGGGGTATGAGGCATTGGGCAAAGGCCCGGGAGCACACAAACCGCCTCATGCTCTCTTAAGAATCTCCAAGCTGGGGCGCCTGGGTGGCTCAGTGGGTTAAAGCCTCTGCCTTTGGCTCAGGTCATGATCCCCGGGTCCTGGGATCGAGCCCCACATCGGGCTCTCTGCTCAACAGGGAGCCTGCTTCCCTTCCTCTCCCTCTGCCTGCCTCTCTGCCTACTCGTGATCTCTGTCTTTCAAATAAATAAATAAAATTAAAAAAAAAAAAAAATCTCCAAGCTAGTTAAGACTTTCACACCACCTCCTAGGAGTATTTGATCTCAAGGGAGTGTTTCAGAAGCCAGGGGGATGTATCATTGTGAGGCAGGAAGCCTGGAGGAGGTGTAGAAATCCATGGGCTGGAGAGCCAGAGCACAGCGGGAGAGGGAACAGT